ACACACACACACACACACACACACACGCGCACACTCACACGCACACATACCAACATACCCTTGAATCTGAATTGCCTCCTGTAGGGATGGCTGCTCTTGTACAAGTCTTCAACCGTGTTTATCTTTGAAGCTAATTACATCCTGTCTGACGGGAAGTCAGGACGCTACGACGACTGACCAGCCTACAGCTTATCTTTAGCGTGTACTCATTATCAACAGAATAAACTGACCGTAACCATTAACAACTGTGTCCGCATTCGTAGATCGTCAACGTCGTTCCGCAAACGCCTAACTCATTTTTTCTTTTAAAAAAAGCTTTGAGGAATAAACCCTACGAACCCCCCCCCCAAAAAAAAACAAACAAACAAAGGAAAAGCAAGAACACATACACAACTCCCCCCCCCCCCAACCCCAGAAACACGGAGCACCCAAATCAGAGCCATGACACGGGGACTCGTTATTTTAAAATAAAAAAGCTAGAAGGAAATAACGAAATAGCGTTGTGCGATACCTTTTTATTGTTTCTTTATAATGTACATAATAATAATATGTACCTACATTATTATGTATGTCTGTATTCGAATAATGGCTACTTCTTTACTTTCCCTCTTTTTTTTCTTTCTACCTGTCTTACTTTTTCCTAAATCTACCTCTTAACATTTTTTTTGTCGATGTGCTTCTCTTTACTCAAACAATGGAAACCCCTAGAAAATGATTTAGGTGATTATGGAATGACGCGAAAGAGGTACTGCCTAGAAATACCTGGAACGTGCTTTGACTCAGGTGGGTGATTTTCCCCTCCAATAAATGTCATTGGTTATTTAACCCGACTCACGTATTTATAAGAGGTAAGCACGCCCTCCGTCAGAAGTTCAAGAGATGGGATAAGTCAGTTCTTCTTATGTGGCGTTTGTGTTCTTGGGAAAGATTAGTTGCTTCCTTTCTATTGTGAGTTGTGGATTTATTTTTTAGAGGACCTCACAGCAGTCTATGTCATAGGCCCACAAAGAGTACTAGAACGAATACTGATATATTACATGTATTATGAATATGATCTCTCTCTCTCTCTCTCTCTCTCTCTCTCTCTCTCATTGCTTTCCCTCTCTTTCTCTTTCTGCCTTTTTCTTCTTTCTCTTTCCCTCCTTCTCCCCGTTCTTATTCACACCAAGCCCCCCCCCCACCCCTTGCTCTCTCTTCCCTCTATTTCTTCTCTCTTTTAAACTCCCTTGACTAAAACGAAGACGTAATACTACTGTAAACTGGCGTCTATGGTGTAGCAGTTGGGCTATTTGCTGTCCCACACAGGGGAATCGAGTACGATTCCCGAGTGGGGAGAACATTTTTTATCGAGTACCTCGGTCTTTGTGCTTAGATGTTGTATCCCTCTCAGCCCAGGTTGGCCCTGATAGGCAGGGTTTGAAACCCACCTCCTTTAAGTGATCTGAATTGCGTCGATGAGGGTGTAAACATTCTTAAAGAAGTTCCACTGCATGGAGAGGTCTCAGCGGTCAGATTTTGTTTACTTTTTTTCCATTTCCAAGTCAGAGCAACGATGGCTTCTTTTTTCTGACGAAATTAGATTTTTTTGATACTTTTACGTAACGTAATGGGTTTGTTTATGCACTAACACGTATCCAAAAAGCAAGTGTCATCCTCTCTAGTACATGTAATTAATAATATTCGAAGTCAAATCGCACTTTATCTCACAAACCCCTCAACTGTCAAGCTTTTCTTTATGATTCTACCAGAGGGCAGAATGAAAACAGTCTCAGAGGGCACTCCGTTCACTCAGTTGACATACCGTACTAGTACTATGATGGAGTGGAGGGCCGTGGTTCGAATCCCAGACTGGATGTTCTTGAACTTAAGTCATTTGTGAAGTTTTCAGGACTCTTATCCTTTAATTTTGGCTCGGTCCTAGAGGAGGAGACGGACTTTGAATTTGGAGGTGCCGCCTCTTGAATAACCTAAATGGCGTGTTGATAAAAGCGTTAAACCGATACACCCATACACCCACAGTCTCGGACATAAGGGAGGGTATAGAACAAACAATGCAAAAACTGTTTTAATGTATTCACGCTCATGTTTCTGGTGTGGCGTCGGTAGCGTAGTGGTTAGGCTACCGGACCCGTAATCGTGAGATTGCGGGTTCGTGGGTTTGAGCCTCAGGTCCGTCCGACGTTGTTTCCTAGGGAAAGACGCTTTACACTAATTTCCCATTTTATGTATTTGGCCAAGTCCTTTCGGATATGATGAACGGTAAACTCGTAGGTCCCGCCTCTTGAATAACCTAATAGTACTGATAGGGGGCGTTAAACCTGTACCATTTCACCATTTTTCAGATGACAGGTGGTGGCAGACGTGTGTGTATCGTTGGGGCCGGCGTGTCCGGGCTGACCTCTGTGAAATGCTGTCTCGAAGAAGGTCTGGAACCCATGTGCCTGGAGCAGGACTCGGACCTGGGTGGTCTCTGGAACTTCACAGACAAAGTTCGGCCCGGCTACCCGAGTCTCTACAGGTCCTGTGTCATCAACACCAGCAAGGAAATGACTTGCTATAGGTGGGCGCTTCTTCTCTCTTTTTCTTTTACAATAATTATAACAATAATAATAACAACAACAACAACAACAACAACAACAATAAAAACAAAACAACCAAAAACAACACAACAACAATAACTGAAGATGTATTGAATATCATATTCCAGCATACATTTCTACATTTCTTCTGTTTTTACCCTGCACAGCTCCCCCCCTCCTCCACCCCCACCGGTACCCGACACACACACACACACACACACACACACACACACACACACACACACACACTTACACACACACACACACACACACACACACACACACACACAGACACACACACACACACACACAGACACACACACACACACACACACACACACTTACACACACACACACACACACACACACACACAGACACACACACACACACACACACACACACACACACACTTACACACAAACACACACACATATTATATATATATATACACGAGGTACATTGTTGCCTATCACTCTTACAGCCATTTTAATTCCGATTAAAATGGCCTTTCGAATGTTGTGTAGTTCCCTCACCAGAAGCTCATAGACTACTTTTAAGGGTTTTGTCTTTTTCAACTCAACAAAACAAAGTAACATCTATCGTCCTTATCTCCCTTTCTTTTTTATGTTTGTTACTCTCTTGTAACACCTCTAATCTTCTGGCGCTCATATGACCTTATGCAGTTGCGAACGCCGTAAAACCTTTACTACTAAAACTAAACTAAACGACAACCATATGCCAAATTAACAATTTTAACTAGTTATCCGACGAGTGCAGATTCAGTACGGTACTATTTCTTTTTTTATTAAAAACACTTTAGCATTAATTCAAAGGGTCCCATTTGGGTAGTCAGACTGATATTACCATAAAACAATACTTATTTCTTAATAAGCTTTAGTTAGAGCTTTACGACACTTGCAACAGACTAAGGTAATAATTTTATAGGTGCCTAAGATTAGAGGTGTTGCAAGAGAGTAACAAACACAAAAAAAGAAGGATGAGAGATAAGTACGATAGATCTAGATGTTTGGCAGGAAAGAAGGACCAATTAAACCAAACCAGAGTACCCACCAACCACTCACATAATTACGCCACGGATAAGAAAAACATTATTTTACAAAGATGAAGTGTTACCTATTGATTTAGTATTATTATCCCATATATCACATGTCGGGTACAAGCCTAACCTGTGGTTAGACTGATTTCCTATTGACTGAACTCCCCAGTGACTTTCCAATTCCCAAAGAATATCCAAACTTCATGCATCACTCCAACTTCAAAAGATACCTTGAGTTGTACGCCGACCACTTTGGTCTGAGAAAATACATTCGATTCCGCTCTCAGGTTAGTGAGATTTTGTTGCCTGATTAAGTGCCCCCCCCCCCCCTCCCAACCCACTCTCTCTGTCTGTCTCTGTCTCCGACTGTCTCCGTTTGTCTCAGTCTGTCTCCATTTGCTTGTCTGTCTGTCTCCCCCACCCCCTCTGTCTGTCTGTTTGTCTGTCTGTCTGTCTGTCTGTTTGTCTGTCTGTCTGTTTGTCTGTCTGTCTCTCCCTCTCACTCACTCTCTCTCTTTATCTCTCTCTCTCTCTCTCTCTCTCTCTCTCTCTCTCTCTCTCTCTCTCTCTCTCTCTCTCTCTCTCTCTCTACCGCTCTCTCTCTCTCTCACTCACTCTCCCACTCTCTCTGAGCTCGTTCTCCTTCCCTCTCAATCTTTGTCAGTCTACTACTCCTTCTCACTTTGGAAGTACCATCTTGCCTCTTTCTGGCTGTGTATATTTTGTTTTGCAATAGTCCAGTCAGCCAGTCTGTCTGATAGCGAGTCTGTTGAAACCCTCATTGCCTTGCATTATTCACAGAGTAAAGTCGAAGTAGAGAAATATTAATTATTTCTACAAAATAGCTACTGAAAACGAGCGTTTTTTTCTTGAAACACACCAAAACACATAGTTAAAGCTCAGATGTAAACAATTCAATTCTTTTTCAGACACTTTACTTTCACTTTACCTTTTTTATCCTGAGTAGCCGTTAAGCGTCGAGGGGAGATGCAGTTTTCTATGGTAGGCCAGCTCTGCAGCTCTTTCAGTTGTGATATTATGTTTTTTCAGGGTTTCCTTGACACCCTCGATCCACCTTTTGCGAGGCCTTCCTCATCCTTCATAGCCTGAATGCTTGATGTTGTAGACTCTCGAGGCTGGCTGGCTGGCAAGGTGACATACGTAACCAACGGCCAAACCATTTTATTCTCTGTCTTTCTAAATGTAATGCAGGCAGAACACGATGCCTATAGCTGCTGTTACTTCTTCATTTCTCTGCCTGTTTCGTCTTGTGATGTTAAAGGTTTTGCGGATACATTTCATTTCGCATTCAGTGATATTGCTGTCATGGGTTTTACTTTATTAGCATACTGGTAGCACACTGTTGGTATGAATATTGAGGTGATAAGCTGTCTCTGTGTGCCCATTGAGATAGTTGGATGAGATAGGAGGGGTGCGAGCTGGTAGGTGACAGCGTTGGCTTTTTGAGTTCGCATTTCTTTTTCTCTGTCTATGGATCAAGATATTTAAACTCCTTCACCTGTTTCAGTTGTTTTCTATTGACATGGATGTTCAGGGGACTACGGCTTCGGCTCAGCTTCATGAGTTCTGTTTTTGATGTGCTTATTTTCATGTTAAATTTCTCGCAGCTGTAGTTCAGTTCGGTAGAGTGATTTTGGAGGGTTTGTTGGTTTGGATGAATAAGACATTGGTCGTCTGCGAATAGAAGTTCATTTAGGCTTTCTGTCCTTTGTTTTTCATCTTGCGTTATTGTGTCCATATACATTATAAATAGGAGGGGAGATAGAACACATCCCTGTCGTACTCCAGAACTTACTTTGAACCAGTCTGTATTGCCTTCCTTCGTACTTACTGAGCTTCTGCTGTGGTATTTAGAGCTCTGCTATTATTTAAAATTTGTCCTCTGACGCCATACTTTTCGAGCGTCTTCCAGATTTTTGCATGGTTTACTCTGTCAAAAGCCTTCTTTTGGTCTATAAATCGCTAGTTCCGTGAAATTCAAGGCTTAAAAAAAAAAACAAAAAAAAAACCTTATGTCCACCGGAACAGGTGCAGAAAGTCAAGCGAGTGCACAATGGGGAAAATGGCGATCTAGTTTGGCAGATCACGTTCACAGACCTAGACACCGGAAGTGTCCACAGAGAGACCACCCGCTTCCTCCTCGCGTGCCATGGACATCTACACCTGCCCAGCACCCCGAAGTTCCCCGGACTGGACGACTTTGGCGGGGAGGTTATCCACACCCACGAGTACAAAGACTTCCGGTTTGTTCACCATTGTTCTATGAAAGTAGCTTTATAATTAGATACACATGTATTATACAGAAAAAAATATATTTTGAATTGGTAGACATGTCACATTATTGTTTGTCGAAAACGATCATCCGCTATGTAAGCTGGATGATTTCTTTTTAGTTCAGCAAATTCGTTATAACAATGCGTTTTTGCCATTTGCCATAACAAAGGTTTATGTTTATGCATTTCTTGCTGTCTTCTAGCTTGGCTTACTGCACGTTTTACGTTCATGTATTGTTGTTGTTTTCTTCTTTGGTGTTGTGAGCGATGGTTGGGGTGTGTGTGTGTTTGTGTGTGTGTG